TTTTTTTTGAATATGGAGTTTTTAAACAAACTCTAACCAATCTGAATTAGAATTTTTATGACTTAATTTATCTTTTTGTATTTGAATTGTTGCGAAATAATCAATTTGGTCTTCCATGAGATACGATCCGAGTATTGATTCATTTGGATTGAATTCAGGTAAAAAGAACTACAACAATAGTCATGATTATCACCACAAATATGGCTTGAGATATATTTTTTTTTTTTTTTTTTCCTTTTTTTCTTAAGTTTGTGGGTCTATGGGGTGACTAGGTATTTTCTATATATAGAAGCAGTGTTTGAACCTAGCTCACATATAGGGTAGGCATGCTCGTGATTGTATTGCCTACGTATTATTTTGTTTCGACAATTTGCCGTTTATGTTCTCCTGTTACGAAGAATTACTGAGGACAAATCTCTAGGCGTGTAGATTAGTCGAACCTTTTATCCGGATTATTAATTAATTGCTTGGTATTTGTGTTTGGAACTAGAAACGATTATCCCGGACTCTCTAGTCGATATATATTTAGTACTCGTTTGAAATCTGAAGGTTGAGTAACTGAATTATTTTCAATTATTAGTTGTTAAATTGTTCTTAAATTATTCTTTTGTGTTGGAACATACGTGCGAGATAATCCAACTAATTCTTTGTGGATGTGATTTCATTTCTATTACTTTGAAACAGAGGATCTTTGATAGATTCACACTGTTAGCAATCTGCAGTATCTTCTTCCTCTCCAATAATTCATCTCACTAATCTCTGATTTTATAAGCCTAAACCAATCATGTCCGAAACACGAGACCACGTCTCGGTCCTCATCGACTCCAGCCTCCACCTGTCTTCCGACTCCCCGAGCAGCCCCACTATCTTCCGAGTCAACCACGACATGCGCCACGACAGCGAAAAGCTCTACGACCCGAAAGTTGTCTCGATCGGCCCGTATCACCACCAAACAGCCCATCTCCAGAAAATGCAGCCGCTCAAGCACACCTACCTTAGGGGTCTGCTCGCACGCCGCGGTGAGTCCACCGTCGACAGATACGTAGCGGCCGTGAGGCCCCTGGAGGAAAAAGCCCGAAACTCCTACTCGGACCCCATCGGGCTCAACCCGGACGAGCTTGTGAAGATTCTTGTGGTCGACGGGCTTTTCGTGGTAGAGCTGCTCCGAAAGAACGGGTTGGACGAGGTGGACCCGATTTTTCGATACCAGCATGTTCCCGTCGTGGTCAAGCGCGACCTGATGCTCGTCGAGAATCAGGTCCCGTTTTTCGTGCTCTACCGGCTTTTCGCCATGACGAGGGGCGAGAACCCGCACGACAACATTTTTTACCTCGTCCGTTATTTTGCTGACGACATTTCGCCGTGGCGGGAGGACTCGGATTTTCGGAGCACAAGCAAGCCGGTGGAAAATTACGCTGACGATCACCTCCACGGCCTCGTCTACAAAATCTTGTTCGAGAAAATGAAATCCGACAAAAAAAATGTGGAGCAGCAGCAGCAGCAGGAGGAAACAAAGGTCGAGTTCGAAAGGAACAACTGCCTCGACATCACATTTGTCAAGAAAATCTTGTTCAAGAAAAGGAAAGCGGGCCGGCCCGTCGAAGGAAATTTTATGACCATAAATTCGGCCTCCGAGCTGCAGGAAACAGGGATCAAGTTCCAACGGAGCACAAGCCCTTTCATCACATTCAACAGGGGCGTCCTTAGTATTCCGAAACTCTACGTGGCAGACGAAACCGAGTCGATTCTAAAAAATTTGATCGTGTACGAGCAGTTTTTCACGGGCGACAGTCCAAAGTACGTGAAGGACTACACATTCTTCTTACAATGCCTCGTGAACCAGCCGAAGGATGTGGAGATATTGAGGCAGCACGGGATTTTGGGAAACTTGTTGGGCGAAGACAAGATGGTATGCCCTCTTTTCGGGAGTCTCGGAAGAGATACCTTGACGTCGCCGTACGATTTTTACGCGGGTGTTTGCAAGGAGGTGAATGGATATTGCAACCGGCGTGGGAATAGGTGGATGGCGGTTTTGAGGCGGGATTATTTCAATAACCCGTGGTCGTTTATCAAGTTTTGTGCAGCTTCTTTGCTGTTGCTGTTGACGGTGATTCAGACACTGTTTACTGTCCTGGGTTATGGGAATGCGAGGTCGAATTGAATAAGGTAAGTTGTGATATTTGAGGGTGAAAATGTGTTATATCCGCATAACCATCTAAAAGCGTAAGTGATAAGACTAATGTGATAAAACCCGAAAATTTGTGCATATTTTATGAATTTATTAATATTTTTATATGCTTAATTCATTGGTATGTCTCTCTCTCTCTCTCTTTTTTTTTTTTAATATGTTAAATCAACAGCTGGCTAAGGTATTCTCTTTCTCGGACAGTCTCTCGTTTAGTGATAGAGACTGGGCTGGCTGGCTAGACATTAGAAAGAGCATTACAAAGTTTTTTCTATATATAGAATAATAAAAATCTTGCGAAGTCGAAGAGTGAGACATGAGCCGAATATAGGTAGGGTGGTAAGTAGAGTTTGTGGATGTGATTCAATTTCTATTACTTTGAAACAGAGGATATTTGATAGATTCACACTGTTAGCAATCAGTAGTATCTTCTTCCTCTCCAATTTTTATTCATCTCACTAAAATCTGATTTTAGAAGCCTATACCAATCATGTATGTCCCAAACACGAGACCACGTCTCGCTCCTCATAGACTCCAGCCCCCTCCACCTGCCTTCCTACTGCCCGAGCAGCCCCCACTATCTCCGAGTCAACCACAACATGCGCCACGGCAGCGAAAAGCTCTACGACCCGAAAGTTGTCTCGATCGGCCCGTTTCACCACCAAACAGCCCATCTCCAGAAAATGCAGCTCGCGTACCTCAAGTGCCTACTCAAACGCCACGGTGAGTCCACCGTCGACAAATACGTAGCGGCCGTGAGGTCCCTGGAGGAAAAAGCCCGAAATTCCTACTCCGAGCCCATCGAGCTAAACACAGACGAGTTCGTGATGATTCTTGTGCTCGATGGGCTTTTTGTGGTCGAGCTGCTCCGAAAGGATGATAATGACCTGCTGAGGGAGAAGAACGAGATTTTCCTATTAGAGAATATCCTTATCATGGTCCAGCGCGACCTGATACTCGTGGAGAATCAGGTCCCGTTTTCATCACGACGAGGAGCAATGACGACCCATATGACAACATTTTTCATCTAGTCCGTAATTTTACCACCAGTATTTCGCCGTGGCCGAAGGCCTCATAGTTTTTCAGCACACCAGAGGAATATAACGACAACGATCACCTCCTCGGCCTCGTCTATGAAATCTTGCTCCCATCGTTCGAGAACCGAAAGCCGACAGTCCCGTAACAGCGGTCGAGCCCAAAAGGAGCAACTGCTACGATTTCACATTCGTCTACAAATTCTTGTGCTCGTTTTTTGGGAAAATGAAAGCCGGCAATCACGCTCACGACAAAAAATTCTATCCTTAAATTCAACCTCGAGCTGCAGGAAACAAGGGTCGAGTTCGAAAGTAGCAACTGCCCGCACATCAATTTCGTCGGGGGCGTCCTTAGGATTCTGGTACTCCGTGTGGGATATAAGACCGAGTCGATTTTGAGGAATTTGATCGTGTACGAGCAGTTTTACATGGACGACCGTCCAAAGTACGTGGCGGACTACACATTCTTCTTACAGTGCCTCGTGAACCAGTCGAGGGACATGGAGAGATTAAGGCGGCGCGGGATTTTTGAAAACTTGTTGGGCGGAGATGAGATGGTATGCCCTGTTTTCGCAAGTCTCGGGAGAAATACCATGTTATATATCGACATGCAATTTTAACGCGGATGTTTACGATGAGGTGAACAGATATTGCAGCCGGCGTAGGAACAGGTGGATGGCTGTTTTGAGGCGGGATTATTTCAATAGCCCGTGGTCGATTATCAAGTTTTGTGCAGCTTCTTTGCTGCTATTGTTCACGTTGATACAGACTTTGTTTGCTGTCCTGGGTGATGGGAAGTACTTTCCAATGTGTATCCGAAAATTAGTTTTAATCGATATAATGTTACATCTAATTAGCCTAAATAATCAAAATATTTTTTCATTTATTATTTTTATAAAATTTATTTATTATTAAAATTTATTTTAATATTTTTATTTAATAATTTACTTGTTATTAACACATGTGCATAAAAAAGTATATTAAAAAATCATGTTTTATTAACTTTCATTATTTACAGATTTGGCCCATGGGATTAATTGAAATATAATTAAATTACTAAAATTGCAATTAGGTCTTTATTCTTAATTTAATTCTCAACAAAAAAGACCCAACCCCACAGATGAATGTCTGTCACGCCTTCACGTCCCTCTTCACCGGCACCACAGCGACTGAGACGCCGGACATTAAGGGATCTCCGATGGCGTCGGACATAATGGCGAGTCTGGCCGGAGTTTCGTTCGTGCTTTTGAACGGACGTGCTCGTCGCGGACAGAGGCGGAGATGGCCGGCGAGACAGTGGAGACGGAGATTTTTCGGTGGTCGGATGGTTGCGGCGGTGACCGGTGTGCGACAGAACTCTGCGGTGGAGGAGACGTCGGAGATGGGATGTTCAATGACGGTGATTCGAAGCTCAACACCTCCGGCAGCGAGGTAGAACCTGACGGACTTTCAGCGGTGGACGTCGGTCAAGCGCAAGCCGGCGGGAATCGGAGCAGCAGTGAAGACGTGAAGTCCGGTTGAGATTTTTGGGCGTGTTACTGTGTGTGTGACGAGTTGTGTGTGTGTACAGGTTGAGTCCGACTGAGCTGCGATGGCGGAGGACGGCGGGCATCTGGCGATGGGAAGTGGCGGAGAGTTTCCGACGTACTGACGGCGGGCGGTCGTCTGGTGGCGGGTGGTGGTGGACGGCGGGTTGTGTTGTGGGTTTGGTGTACGTGTATTGTTTGTGTGAGTATGTGTGAGAGATTGTAGGGTGGCTGATTGATGGGGAATTGGTAGATAATTAATATGTATTGGGACCGTGAATTAATAATATGTATTAGGACCCACCTCAATGAGTGAGATGTTAAAAATTACTACAATACCCTTAATGAAAGTATAATTTTAGTTTTTTATTTAGCCATTAGATCAAATGATCTAATGGCTACAATTTATTCTCATTTCTTTCATTGAGAATCATTTTCATGTGAACCCAACCATATATATATATATATATATATATATATATATATATATTAAAGCAGAGCAACTGTCAAATTCCCACTCAAATTTACATTAATTATTGTATTAACTCTAAGCTAATTTATTTTCACATTATTTTAGATATCAAACCTACATTTATTATTGTATTACCTATAAGATAATTTATTTTCAAGTTATCTTAGATATTGTCTGAATATTTATTGTAGTTATTAAATAACTTTAATCATTATGTATTGATTATAATCTTGGGCAATTGCTTATTCATGAAAATAAGAAGGGATAATTTGTCACATTGAAATTGTTAAATTGTAATTGTACATACATAAATGTCATATAGTAATTGATATTTTTAAGTACGTTGTAAATTCATATTAAATTTTATAGATAATTTGCGCATAAAAAACTATCAATATATATATATATATATACATATATATATATATATACAAGTAAAGTAGCTAGGAGAAAAAATTTTCCATCCAAACTATATTTAATACATATACATAAATTTTGTTAATTTCTATGTATGATTTGCAATTAAAACAACTAGTACGCCACCCGCGCGTTGCGCGACCTGATATTAAAACATGACGTGAAATGAATTATTATTTAATTAAATGAAGAATATTAAGAAAATATGTAGAGAGATACTAAAAAGTAATGAAAATTTTATTCATTATATTTTAAAATGTTTTCCTAAATATAACATTATTAGTGGATGGATTATATTCATTATTACTATTATCATCATAAAATAATTATCATCATAAAATAATAATCATCAGACAATCGAGGTCTGTGAGATAAAAACAATAACATATAATGGATGTGATTATAAAATACAATATGTTTTGTAATAAATAGTTTCAAATTAAATAAATTCAACTTAAAAAACATTTGTGGTATTCAATGTCTTTGTCACATTGATAACACTCCTTGAAATTTTTGCTTAAATTTTTTTATAATGACATAATTTTTTTCATTAATAACTAAAGATATTATTAATACTATATATAATAAATGAAATAAACATGTACAAAATATGAGTCAATTAAAATTAGAAATATAAATTAAATACTTAAGAAAAAAATACAAAAATGACTCAATTACGAATCGCGCATGCGTTTACCTTAAAATTAGGTCCACATATCTTTAACTTTTTATAATTTGCCAAATAAATTTAAACTTCGTTTATTTGCAAAATAAGTCCGATGGTGCTCAGAATGACGTGCAAGATCGATCACCTTATGTAAAGTTATAAATATGCACAATAATCGTTAATGCTCATGTCAATAACTAATTACTTATTATTTTCAACATAACTCATGCGGAATGTAAGTTAATATACTTTCGTCAAATGATAAGAAAATGACATTTAAATTGTATTATATAAATTATAAAATAATACAATTTATTTTGATAACACTAACAACTATAATTTATAATAAGAGAAAAGTAGTTGATACATTATAGTAAGTCATATTGAACTTTATCTATTGCAAAAAATCAGTAGCGATAATATATTATTGTCGTTATCTTAAGAGAAAAACATGTGTCATAATAACAAACAATTAGCAATAGTTAACACATTATGCTAATTTTATTAATCGAAATTTATAGTTGCATAATTGTGGATCAATAAAGAGATTAACTGTAGGCAGTCACTTTAGTAAACTTTAGATGACTTCAAATTTAAGTCCAAATGAAACAAATGATATCAACTAAAAAAATAAACAAACTATGTATTTAGGGCTCAAATTATTCAATGATTTAGGACCAAAACTATTACAAAAGACCACATATACACCAAACATTATATTAAATAATTGAATGATAAATATACATTGTCCTACTCTGTCTATATAGTCAATATCGTCCATCACTCTTTGCCTCTCTTATGGTTGAGAAACCTTCACTCTTTAAGTTATTATTATTATTATTTTTATTTCACAATATCTTTCGCAGTATTAGTCCATTTCTTACTCGTAAATAAAACCAAATTCGATGTCATGTTCAAACACTAAATCATTTAATTTTTTACTTTGTATACAAACTGTGACAATAAACGTCCATCTAAAAGTAGAAAAATAAAAATATAGTTGTCTACATATCAAATTAGTTTTTTTTTATATATTTTCAAATTTTATTTTTTCTTTTTATTTATAAATCATATTAAGGTAACGATCAAGATGGGTCACCCTCAATGTTCAGATCAATAACTAACACTTATTTTGCGCTAAATTTATGAGAACCATATTTAGCTTATTTTGTTAGAAATAAATATTGATATAATTCTTGCAAAGCAATAAGAATAAAATACTTAAATTATAATATGTAACACTAAAACAATAAAATGTAAAGCTAACACTTGTGATGAATGATAAAAAGAAATAAATAAATAGTTGTTTTTGTACTATTTCGTGCGAAACTTTATTTGTCGTAATGTTTTGACAAAGACAATATCTTCCCATTATTCTTATGAAAACAATATAGATACACGAATAAAAAATAACAGTAAATTAACTTGTTGTGTTTTTTATTCAAAAATTATAATTTTATAATTATGGAGCAATAAAAAAATCTAAAATGATGGCAAAAAGTTTATGCCCATCGTATAGATGCCTCTTCATTATTTTGACAAACATAAATAACTATACCAACCAAAAAAAGTTATTATTTTTTTTTTATTTTTTAGTTAAACAATTCAGACCAAAATCAATATAAATTTTCTCTTCAGTTTGACAATTATGAGTTGCACCTCTCTAAATACTTTAACTCTTTCAATTTATGTTTTCATTTCTATTTTTTTTAACAATAGTTTGAAATATCTATGTATTTTTTTTACCTATAATACAATCAAAATTTGATGTTATGTTCGATCTAAGTTGTCTTATTTTTTTTCTTTTCTTTTGTTTTTTTTTTCATATTTATGATTGATCTTAGTAAAAGAAACCTAAGTTCAGTTAAACTGTCATGTCGAAGTAAAGAGGTTACTCACTATTTTCGAGATACATTTCACATGGATATGCATGGTAGTATCCAATATCTGTAGATGATACTTTTTATTTTACTTTTATAAAAATTTTATCTGTGTTAGTCGAATAAATTACATTACTTATGACAAATATAACTTTATATTATATCTCCCTCTGTCTCTCTTTTTTTACTTACTTTTTTATTTTTTGTGAAAAAAATATTAGAAAGCAAAAAAAAAAAAAAAAAAGAAATTTGGTTGTGTGAGTTTGCAATTTGTTATTAACCATAATAATGAATTCTTGTATTGAATTTACATATTTGAGAAATAATAACAATAATAAGCACTGTTATTTTTTATCAAGTGCCAACTATTCGTACTCTTTTTTATATAAAATTGTTAATCACCTTAAAAGTATAGTTTATCTATATTATTTTTACTTTTTATGTATGATTATTAAATACGATAGTATATTTATACAAAATCTACACTGATAAATGTGTTTTTTTTAAATTAATTTTTCATGTAATAAATAATTTTTTGTTGTTTAAATTATCCACAATGATTTGACAAATTCTTTTCAAAGCCATGAATATTGAAGTGCAAGTCCCAATACATAATTATGCATAAACATAATAATTTACTTAAACATACAGTTAAACT